TTGAGTTCCTGCATGGCAGGGGGCTGGACTGGATGGCTCTTGGGGTCTCTTTCAACTCTATGATTCTATGATTCTATATAACCCTAAACCAGTCTGGAATTGCAGTATGGGAGAACAGGAGCTTTAGCCCTTTGCCCTTGCCATGGCCCGAATCAGAATCCACTCTCTCACATTCTTGCTATCTGCAGTGTTTCCATCTAACAACAAGCACAAGGAGTCACATTCTGCTTGAAACCATGGCAGGGGCAAAGGTTAAAGCCCCATCTTCCTATATCATGGTCCCAGTCTAGCTGCATCCTCATGCTGGTTATTTAACATACAACATCCATGCTAGGCCAAAACACGTGACATGTCACATCTAGTTCAAATTCTTGTCTAATTCTTTGTTTGGTACTGCTTTGGTTCTGAAAGAGAAATTAAGAAACATTAAAAGAGACAAGCAATATTCATTTGAGGGCCTTAAATATTATTTAAAATCCAGCTATTTAAAATACATGTCAACTGTCAGATGCTAGCCAAAAATATTTTGTTTGAAGTTACTCCTGAGAGCTGAGCATGAATTTATTATGTTCAGCCATCTCTCATGACAGACTACTTTTCTTACAAAGGCAAAGGAAAAAACACTGTCAGCTTATGCTGAAGAATAGTGAGGAGAATTAAAATGTCATAATAATAATAATAATAATAATAATAATAATAATAATAATAATAATAATAATAATAAATTTATATCCTGCCCCTCTGCAACGCAACACAAACAATTAAGAGGTTTTATGTTTAATAACCACTCACCTCCAACTCAGGCACATGCATAGGCTAACAAGTGATAACAGAAAGACAATATAGGAACACACTGTATGGCTATTATGTATTTTGGAAGTAAATCTTGCTGTATGCCATAGGATCAAAGGATTGCATAAAATTGCATCTTCATACCCTCCAATAGCCACAGATCAGCTGGGATGGCTGTTGGTTCTTTAACATTCCCCTGCACTCAGATTGTTTTGAGATGTCCCAATTCTCCCATCTCAGCCACACGCTTTTTTTTTCCTTTTAAATCCTTAACAGGGAGAGGCGGGATACAAATAAATATATTATTATTAAATTAAAAGCTGGCAATGACTTTTTCCACAAGTAGCCCATCAGGGGACAGCTTGCCTCTCTGGTCCTGAAGAGGGGAGAGAGGGGAGGCTTGCTGTTCCCAGCAAAAGATGTTCCACTTAGTAGTCAGAAATTACCTTCTGCCTCTGTGAGTACTCTTGGGTTTTGTGCCTCTCCCGCCCCATAGAGCATAGAGGGGCTTTTCTTGAAGCCATTCTCTTCGAATTAGAGCAAACTGGGAACTGAAAACCAGCCTTTGTTTCACAGAGGCTGGGTCCACATCGGCCAGAATACTTCAAGAGCAGCCCGGAATATTCTGGCCTCAAAGTTGCCCCAACATCCCACCATTACCTTGGCCACTCCAATGAAATGCGAGGCGGCTGTTTGCATATGTGTCCTGCTGTGCTGCCTGGCATAGCTGGCACTGGTGCTGGCACAAATTGCTCATTCTGAGGAATGCGCGTGGCCAAAATGGTGCCGCAGAGGAGGCCCGTCGCCGCTGAGGGAAGCCTCCCGGGGGGCACCCACGGTGGCGCTGGCCTCTAGGAGGCCTGTCACCGCCGAGGGAGTCCTCCTGGGGGCCCCCGCCGCCATGCGCATGCGCACACGGGAGGTGGGGGGTGGCGCTGCCATTTTGTTTTTCAAAATGGTGGCGTGCACGACCACGGGGGGGTGCGCACGCATGTCGGCCCCAGCGCCATCTCTCCCCCCCCGGCCCGTCAGCGCAAAAGGTTGCCGACCCCTGCTATACAGCCACACTAAACATAAACAAAGAAGACAAGATGTGCACAGATGACAACCCATGCATGCTCTCTCTCTCTCCCTCTCTCCCTTGCAAGCAATCCCCTAACCCACTTAATAATACACATCATCTGTGCAAAAACCGAGGAAAAACACAGCATATCAGACAAAAAGAAACCAACAACATAGCACATATGTACACCGTACCCTTACAAGCAACAGTAATAACTGGACACCACACACAAAAACCACCTTAGATCTAAATTAAGGTGGGATATTAATTAATTAATTAAATAAATAAATATACTCAATACAGGCAAAACATAGCTGGACAGGCTGCAGAATGAAGCTCTTGGCTTGAGCCATCCACACTTTGTACTTTTAAAGAAAAATGAGGATAGTATTAAGAGTTTGATAGACAGCAAGGGAGATGTTTGTGGGCACAGTGGTGCTCACAGACACAATGTCTGATAATAATAATAATAATAATAATAATAATAATAATAATAATAATAATAATAATAACAATTTATTTATATCCCGCCCCTTTGAGATACTCTAGATTTTTATGTTATAATAAATTTGTCCCTTGTTTACCACAAGACTCCTGTTTTTACTGTAACAGAACTAATATGAACACCTCCCTGAAACACAGAAACATAACAGCAAAGAAAAGAAGCCTGTGTAGGCTGGTCCAGCAGAGACAAAGATAAAGAGATGTAGATCCCATGCAAGTCTGTGGGACCAGGCACCAGTCCAAGGACTAAACTATTACATGGCCATTAAAAGATATATCAAGTACATCACACCTGATTCTATGGTTGGTGCATGGAGGATGTACAATCGAGAATTGATTATTGGCTGACCAGTAGCCATTTCTATATTAGTGTGGAATATAGGCTTTCAAAGACACTTCAAAAACAGCACATAGGTTCCCTGGAGACTTGCTAGAGTCATCTCAGGATGGAGACAGCAGTTTTAATTTAATTTGACGTTGGAGCCACAGTTTGTTTCCGTTTTCTGTAGAACTTAAGAAGATGGGGAAAATAGTATTTTTCGGGTCACTTCTAAGAACTGTAAGGAGTATATGTTGTAGTGTTCTCTTGCAGCCTATGTGGTTATGTGCCCAACCACAGGAAAAAACCAACACCCAACAATTGATGAATCCATTCATTATCTGGATTGGCACTGTTTGAATCTCACCCCCCTCGCACACACAAAACACATACAGGGGAATGTTTAATAGATAATGCATGGCACAGTGGTTAAGAGCACCTTCAGTTCTGCTGACAGCAATCTGATTAATGGGCTGTAATGAAAATGCCAGTACTGCACAACTTTAAACAGAAGTGATGTGAAACAGGTTCTTGGTAACCCAAGCCAATGAAAAATGCATTAGGCTGATGTGAATGTTTCTAAAGAGCCAACCTCGGCAATCAATCCACTGCAGGGAAAACATTTAATATGAAACTAGTCAAGATAGCTGATTGCGTGTCCTCTGCTTCAAAAAGAAAGATTGACCTTTGAAACCAGGGAGACTGGTTTGGAATGAAGAATTGGCTCCCTCCCTCCTATCTCTTTCTGAAGCTTTGAACCCACATAGAAGTCAACTGATGAGAATAACCTTTTAAAAGAATAATTTTTGGCTTGGAAGTTATGAAAGTTTTAAAGTGAACAATTTATTCAAAGAGAACTGCAGTGAGGGCAGTGGCTTATTTGAAGATGTTCCTTGCTGCCCCATGGATTTTTGAAACAAAGTCCATAAATAGTTAACATTTAAATTCTGTCATAGACTACTAACTGAAAATCTCTAATGCTAGATCAGGACTGTGCTCATTTAGGGAGTAGTCTACTTCACATTAAAATGTTTGAACATTTGGGTTTGTACAATGTCTGCAAGTACAGTGGGTCCTTGGTATCTGTTGGAATTTGGTTACAGGACCCCCTGTGGACAACAAAATCTGTGAATTCCCAAGTCCCATTAAATACAATGGCATAATAAAATTGTGTCCCTTATATAAAATGGCAAAATCAAGATTTGCTTTTTGGAATTTATATATATTTTTAATATCTTCAAATTGTGGATGTTTAAAACTGTGGATAAAAAAATCTATGGATACGGTGGGCTAACTGTATGATATATCTATGGGAAAAAACAGATGGAAAGCCTGCTGTGTTATGTGGTTAACATAGGGCCTTACATTAGACATATACTTTACATCAAAATTTGAAAATGTTACTTTTGGGGCTATAGCTTCTACAGTGGCCATGTTGGGTTCCCAAAGGGCGGGATATAAATAAAATTATTATTATTATTATTATTATTATTATGCTACCAATTTCCTTTTTTCAGTTAGTCACAGAGGTGCTACAAGATCCTTTTGCATACTTATTTTCCAGATTAACCTGACTATGTCTTTGTATTATTTCTCATGTTTGCATTTTATCCTTCCTGTAAGGTCAGATGAGCACATGTTCTTTTTTTCCTTCCTTTTATCATTACAATCACAGTGTGAGGTACACTTGTTTTCTAAAAAATGGTAAGTGGCCCAAGATCACCCAGTGAGCTCCATCCCCAAGTAAGGATTTGAACATTGGTGTCCACAGTCCAAGTCCAACATGCTGTTGTTCACTATACCACACTGGCTCCTTCTGTGAGTTGTTTTAACCCATCAAAAATACCTTACTCATCAGGCAGTACCAAAATAGATTCCAAATTATGATGGGCTCCTTTCAGAAAATTATTGCTTCACATGCCATCAGGGCTCCTTTTCAGGGTCAGTTTCTTTTTTGAGGGTAAAGAACACTAGGCTTAAATAATATTTTTGTAATAGCTAATTATTCACAAACAAGACAAGTAGACAGGAAAGAAGCAGTCAAATTGGCAGTTCCCAAGCCGCATCACTCCAGCACCCTAAGACTCTAAACACCTTCTGCTAAATAGAAATTTTCTTCTAAAACTTTCCATGCTAAGCTCCAAAACTCTGT